TAATTTTAATATTTTGGATATATGAATATTTTTATTAAATAATTAATAAATTTAATATTAATTTTTTTAATTTTATTATAAATATTAATAATAAAAAAATATAATAAATATATCTTTATCTTAATGGTTGGTATAACAAAAACCTCTTATATTTTCATATACTAATGTTGTCTCGTAAATCTAAAAATGGGTGTAAACAACTAATAATAGTAAGAACTCAAACCAATATTCTGGCTCTCTATTCCTACTTGAAGGAGTGAGTTACTTACTCTAATAGTATGGAAAATGTACTAATAACTTGTTGATCCGAGTAGGAAAAGTTTGCTTTTTTTTTTAAATAAGATTTTAAATTTGAGTATTATAAATGAAAAAATAAATGTTGTAAAAACTTCTTCCTTAATAAGATCTAATGTGATTTAATTTCAGATTATTCAAGATTTAATGTGGTTATTGGATATTAAGATATTAATATATATATATATATATATAAACATACGAAAAAGGGGGACAAATGCAAGGTACTGCCAAATGAGAACATTCATTATTTACTCTAGAGCTGGGCGCCGCAAATGGCAAGGTACTGTACTCTCCCGTTGATATATATATATATATATATATATATATTTTTGGTTGCCATAAATTTTTTACCATGATTTTTATTTTTAATAAGCATGGCCTAGCTAATATATTATTTGGAGCGTTTTTTATAGGTCCATAAGGTTTTAAGGGTTTAAATTATTAATTATAGTTTGTTATGGTGTATATGATATTAAAGTTAAGTCAAAGTACACAATATAATTAATAGTGTTATCATGCACAATATAGTTAATAATGTTATTTAGAGTACTATTTCATAGGTGCATAAAATCTCCAGGGTTAAAATACAAAAAAGGAAAAAAAAATGTAAGGGTTAAGAAAGACTAATAAAGTACTTAACTAAATTATTAACAAAATAATTAAAGTTTAAATTTTTATTCTCCCCTTTTACTCCTCTCCCCATGAAGGTTTTAACTAGTTGTGCGTGTGTCATGGTAAAAAAGGGTCTTAAGGGTTCAAATTATTAACCATGCCCCATTACAACAAAAATGAAAAAATTACAGAAGAATGGCATTAGACAACTTATACCCAGGATTGAATCAGAAAATCACATTCAAGAGTGTGTAAACAGAGTTTCTTCACTTAAATATGCTGAGCATGGGATACAGGAAAATTGTAGAATACTAACTCTCAACTCCTCTACCTCTCAAGTCCATGTAATCTACTTCGCTATAAAAGTAAGAAATTGTTCATTCTGAGCACTGGTCTGCAACTTCTCTAAGCTTATCCGTGCATGGGAAGAGTCCTATTATATTTCTGTAGAGAGGCCGCATTAGGCTGTCCGTCTGCAGCATTTGATCTTTTCTATGAGTTGCACCTCAGATCTGTTGTACATAATGCAAAATTTGGTTTTTCATTGTGTCTTCTCAAGAATAATACACCAGTTTGATTTGTCAAAAAACTTGTCGACAACCACTGAATTGTCCATTCCTGATGCAAGCCTGCACAAATTTATACAAAACATAAGAACTAAGTATTCTAGAGTGTTCATGTATATAAGAATAGTTGTATACAATCTAAACCTAGACCTCAGCATTGCAGTCTTAAAACAGCAAAGAGAACAACGTAGGCTTTATTTGTCTGCATATCTAAGAAACAAGATTTGGTTCTGTGACTTCTGTCCAAGCCAAATAATCTAAACTTCTTTAATACTTTTTTCTTTTAACATGGGGGGATTGGGGGATGGGGGTAAGTACAACAATAATGGCCTGAGTTGAGCTTAGGACTTAAAGGCAACCGAGCTCTTAAGCTTGGGATATGAACCATTGGACCACAGTATGGTTCAAACTTCTCTAATACCAACTATAATGTAACTAAAACTTTTTGTAATTCATTCTCTTTCATACAAGTGGTGCTGAAAGACACAACTTTGAACTACATATCTCAAAACTACACAACCATCTTAGTCTCTAACCCATGGAAAAATGCTAACAAGATGGCTGTCACAAGTTCTAACAAACAATGCCATTGTTAGCATAACAGGCAATGGGAGAGGCTACATATGACCCTGTCTATGTCCTCTCTTAACCCAGGACTGCAAATATAAGGCAAGGGGAGAGGATTGCACTCCTGCCTAGCCAACAATTGGAACATAAAGAATATAATAATAATAATAATAATAATCACACTCAATGCAAGTGCTTATAAAATACCTTTCAAGCTCGCCTTCAGCAAAGACATGGTAATATCTGTTGTATACCACAGCACCCTTCTTATCATCTTTCTTTGCAAGACCATTTGCAAGGGCACCAGCAGAAGCACCACTAACTTCAGCACGATGGTAAGGTAAGTGCCAAGGGACAA